GGAAAACTGCAGGCGCCTGCAACTGCTCGTCTGTGATGTCGGATGGCCCGTCGCCGCCCGCGAAGTCGTCATTGTCGTCGCCGCCCGAGGAGGCGCGGGGGCCGTCGCCGCCCGCGAAGTCGTCATGGTCGCCGCCGCCCGAGAAGTCGTCATGGTCGTGGCCGACCGCGAAGTCGTCATTGTCGTCGCCGACCACAGAGCTGTCGGGGGCTGTCAATGGAAGGGGTTCACCATCCTCGGGGCGTTCTTACTTCGAAGCAAGCGGTCGGATGGGGCGGCGAGGAGGAAACCGAAAAGGATGAGCAGGGAATGGGGGCAAGGTGGAGGTGGAGCGGGAAGAAGAAAGAGACAGGCGACCAAGGGAAATGGGGGGCGAAGCAGGGGAAGGAACGGAGACGCGCACTAGATCGCTTCACGCCCAGGGGGGGGATAGAGAGAGAGAGAGAGAGAGAGAGAGAGAGAGAGAGAAAGAGAGATTCCTTCTCCTCTTGCTACGTTCGGGAAGGCTTTTGATAATCAGCAGGGGTTGCGGCGAACGCGAACGACCAGGGGGTGCCAGCCTGCAGATCTGACGATCATCCGACGTCAGATGGTCGTCAGATTTGGACCGCAAACCTGACGACCATCTGACGTCAGACGATCATCAGATCAACAGTCGCGATTTGCTTGGGTTTCAGATCCTCCCACTGTCCCGATCGCCCTCCCCCTGCTATCCCTCCTTCTCCCCAAGACCTCTCTCCCTGCTCGTCCCTTCTGCTCTTCATCCTTCCCCCCCCCCCGCCCTCCTCGTCATCCATGCTTCTCCTCCTCCCCCCGCCCCCTTCCATCGTCCTTCTCCATCATTATCCTCCTCCGCCCGCCCCTTTCTCCTCTCTCATAGTTTCTCCTATCTGCTGCGTTACACCGCAAAGCGTGAGAAATCAAGAGTAGGTCCTGGAGAAATGATCTGGTCGCTGAGGGGCGCGGCGGTGGAGTCGCGGGCGTAGGCGTCAGCGGCGCGCGCGGCGTGGACGGGGGCGACGTCGAAGGCAGTCTCCGCGCACGCGGAGGTGGCGGCAGGCTCAAGAGAAAATTGATCTTAATAAGATGAGTTCTGCCCCTGCCCCCGCGCCCTCCTCCTCCGTATCCATGTCCTTGTCCTTGTCATTTTAAAGGGCATCTAACTCCTCCTCCTCTTGTCCACCCATTCCTCCTCCGTTTTCCATTTCCTAATCGCTGATGTGTGTCGTTCAACGCGCGCATACCTATGCACGTGGATGTATGACATGCCTATGCGCATTGATGTATGCGCGTGGACGGTTTGTCTTGAATATCTCTCCTCCTCCCTCTTCTCCTCGACCTCCTCGTCCCCCCTGCCTTCCTACTCATCGGCCTCCTTATCAGCATCGCCCTCACCCCCCTCCTCCATTATCCCTGCCCCCCTCCCCATTCTGAACCGTCTGCTCATCCAGGGTGCCTCCTGATGAAAGAAAAAATCGGAGTGCACGTCCTGGCCATGCACTCGGATGTGTCAACGCCCATCTGGTTGCACAGGCGCACCAACTTCTCGCGCTCGGCGGCGAGGCAGCCCGTCAACGCCTAGCAGCGCCCCCCCTCCTACCATTCCCTTTGTATCCACTGCCAATCCCTCCTACCAATCCCTACTCTGCGCACCCTTCCACACCTCCGACCACTCCTCCCTTCATACCCCATCCTACCCCTTCCTACCGCTCCCCCGCTCCTGCGCCTCCTTCTACCGCTACCCACCTCCCGTGCCACTCCCTATCATAGCCTGGGCCTTGCGATAATCGTCGTCAACGCCGTCGCAAAAACTGTCTCCACTGCCATCGCGATCACCACCATGATTTTTGGCGTTGACGACGACGCCGCAACCATATCGCCGCCACCACCGTCGTCCACGACGTTCGTCGTCATCGGGTTCGTCGTCGACGTCTTTAGCCGTGCACCTCATCGTTGCAATCCCCGTCGTCGGCGACATCGTCGTCGTGAAGGTCTCCGTCGTCGACGTTGCCCTCGGCCCCCCGCGCGCCTGGCGGCGGCGAACTGCATTGTCTCGCAATCTTCTGCAGTGCTTGAGGACGCAGCTCAGCTTGTCCGCGAGCGAGCCCGCTCTCTTCTCGAGCGGGCCCGGCGCCTCCCTCGCCACCGTTGGATGCCTCTGGGGGCGGGGGGGGGGCGAGGAGTGAGGAGCAAGTTGGAAGCGATCGGAACGGGGGGGGAATTCAAATCTGACGACCGTCTGATGTCAGACGATTGTCAGGTTAGCAATTTTCAATCTTACGGTCATCTGACGTCAGACGTTTGCCAGGCTTGCGGTTCAAATCTGACGACCGTCTGATGTCAGACGATTGTCAGGTTGGCAACTTTCAATTTGACGGTCATCTGACGTCAGACGTTTGTCAGGTTTGCGGTTCAAATCTGACAACCATCTGACGTCATGCGATTGTCAGGTTGGGTTGTTCCAACCAGACCGTCTGATTGGAACCTGCCAGCCTGACAATCGCATGACGTCAGATGGTCGTCAGAAATGAACCTCAAACCTGACGAACGTCTGACGTCAGATGACCGTCAGATTGAAAATTGCCAACCTGACAATCGTCTGACATCAGACGGTCGTCAGATTTGAATTCCCCCCCACGTTCCGATCGCTTCCAACTTGCCCCCCCTCCTTATTCACCAGACCTCTCTCCCTCATCATCCCTTATGCTCTTCCGCCTTCTCCCCCCTCCCCCCCGCCCCCATCGTCGTCCATCCTTCTCTTTCTTCTCCCGCCTCCCCCCATCATCCCCCTTCGCCCTAAACCTCCGCTCCAGATGGGCAACGGACTGAATATTTGAAGAAGTTCGAGAAACGAAGAGGGAACATAACAAGTAATAATATCTGAACGCGCACGGGGTACCAACATAAAAACGAACGTCTCAAAACTATCGCCCTCGACATCGTCGTCGTCGGGCAGCCTGTCCAGCACGGCTGCGCACGCCGTGCGCAGGGGGGCGAAGGGGATCTCTGCGTCTGGGCTGGCCGCCAGCAGCACTGCCACCTGGGGCAGGAGGGGGCAGGGAGGGTGAAGGATAAATACAACTAATGATCAATGAGATTCAGAGGAGGCGCCCCGACCCCCCTCTCCTCTGGATCGTGGAGGGGGTTGGGAAAGCCTCCTCTGATTCTTGAAGCCCCCCCCCCCTCCCCCCCGCCATCAGGAGGGTTGGCAGAGGGGGAAAAAAAACGGGCGTGGTTCAAACTGCCAACCACCAGGCCGTCCATGGCCGCGATGCTCGGGCCGTGGACCGCGTGGTCCTTGTGCAGAAAGTAGTAGTGCCCAAGATTGAATGAGCTCTTTACCCCCTCCTGCGCGATATACTCTAACAAGGAACGGCCCAATGGGGAAACGCCATCAAACTCGGCGCCCGCGGACATCCGTCCGCTGGAGGGGGTAAAGAGCCCGCGCAGGGGCGGGGCGAGAGTGCCCTTGGCCAAAATGGCTTAGCGGCGCTCCTTCTCCTCCTCGTATTCGCCCTTCTCTTTCCCCCCTCCTCCTTGTCCTTTCTTCCCCTCTCCCCCCCTCCTCCCCCTTGGAAGCCCTCTTCCTCCTTCTCCTTCCCCTGTCCATCTTCCCCCCTCCCCCCTGTCATTTTAAAGGTCGGCAGTCGACCTGCGGGGCTTCGCAGAAGCCTTCGGCCCCATGGCAAAGCTCTCTCTCTCTCTCTCTCTCGCTCTCTCTCCCTCTCTCTCTCAGCTCTCAGCTCTCACTTCTCAACTCTCTCTCTCTCTCTCTCTCTCTCCCCCTACATCCTACATATATATATATATATATGTATATCTATCAGTGCCGAGATCTCCAGTTGTCTCCCTGTCCCGCTCAGTCCCGAGATCCCCGCCTCCTCATCGCCCCCCCGTTTCCAAGCGGGGAAAAGGAATATGAAGGGGAAATGGAAGAAGAGGAGGGATGACAAGAATGGAGGAAGAGGGGAGTTTTTTTTTATCCCGCACAACCCTCAGCGCCGCATGAAGTACAAGCGGTAGGGCAGGCACGGCACCCGCACGTACCGCTGCACCCGCACGCGGCCGTCTTCGCTCCACGACATCAGGATTTCGGAGCACCGCACGGGCATCAAGGTGAGCGCCCCAGGCTGACCTGGCGCCCACCCCTCGTCCACCTTCCAGCCCTCTCGGGGCCACTGGCCTCCATAGCCAGTGACCGCGATAAAATTTGGACACCCCGCCCACGGGCGGGGTGTCATCTGCAGCAGAGCAGGGGCGATCCAGCTCCTGCTCGGCTTGCGGTTGCGCCCGCTGGTCATGGGGAGGCCTGGCGGGACCTCCCCAATCTCCACGACGCGCCATGGGATCCCGAGCCCTGGGGAGGCGGGCCCCCCATCGCGCTCAATCCACAGGCACGTGGCGTCCACCTCCATGGCGCTTGAGCCCAACGAAGAAATAAGGAGAGGAGGGAGGAGCTGGAGCAGCTGAGAAAGGGCGGTCGGGTAGCAGGGGAAGAGAAGGGGCGGTGGGGGAGGCTTTGGAAGATAACGACAGTCGGCACGCAGAGGCGGGGGGGGGGGCAGGATGCGACAGAGATACGGAGGAGGACGAGGAGGAAGCACGGAGAGGAAGGACGTGAAAGGGACAAGAAGGAGAGGAAGCTCAAGCAAGTCGTCTGCCCACACCGATGTGACAATCGTATGGCGTCAGATCATTGTCAGAACATTGATCTGACAATGACCTGACGTCAGATTATTGTCAGACCGAAACTGGTACGGTCAGACGAAACTCTTCTTTCATTGTCAGATCGCCCCCCCCTGCTGTCGACGAACCCAGACCGATCCGCGACTGACTTGTTACCGACCGCGACCGACTCCGCGACCGACATGCTACCGACCGCGACCGACATGTTACCGAAGGCGACCGCGACCGATATTGCCGCGACCGCTACCGATATTACCGACCCACCCTGAACGCTACCGTCGCGACCGGTCGCACCTGGAAAATTCCAGGAATCAATGATCTGGGCTCGGGGCCTGCGGGCCAGGGGCGGCCGATGGCCATCGCCGGCGCGTGCGCCGCTGAGGGCTTCACAGCATTTCGCTGGAGCGGATGCCCACGTGGACCGCGCCCGGCTGGGCGACCTGCGCGACCCTGGCACCGACCGCAGCTGGATGTGGTCCGCGCAGGCTCGGGATGCAGATCGGGGGGAGTTCACCGAGGCGATGCGCATTCGGCTGGGCGCCAGCGGGCCGCCCGAGCCCACCTTGCGCGGCGTCTGCGGCGAGCGCCTCCTCGACGCCGCCGGAGCCCGCGCCTCGACCTGCTGCATTTGGGAGGCGACGGTTGGCCACGGCCTGGCCATGGAGGAGCTGCACCGTTTCGCCGTGATGGGTGATCCTCGTAGAGAGCTGGAACCGGAGAACTTCGTGCGCTCACGTCCACTGGGCCGACCTGCAGACGTGCCCACGGCGGCCGTTGGCAGCCTGTCGGCTTTGGACGTGGGAGTTACGAGTTCCGCCACCGCGCCCGCGCCGGGCGAGGGCGCCGCCGAGGCGATGTGGCAGCGCAAAACCCGGGGGCGGGACAGCGTGCGCGGCGAGCTCGAGGAGCTCGGCATCGTCTACACCCCCGTGGTATGGACGAGCCACGGGCGCCCGCGTCCGCAGGCGGCGGCCGCCGTGCCGGCGATCGCCCGGGCCGCCGCGCGGCGCCGCGGGGGCGCCGCCCGCGCCATGGAGCGCGCGCTGCGGGGGCGGATCGGCGCGGCGCTGGCCCTGCGGGGCGCGCGCGTGAGTCTGGCCCCAATGGCCCCTCTAGACGACGGCGCCGCCGAGCCCGGAGCGGGCGTCTGGCGCGTGCTCGCCGCGGTCGACGCCGCCGCGGCGGCCGACGCGCAGGGTTCGGCTCCCGCAGCGCTTGGAGGGCCTGGCGGGGCCAGGCCGGCGGCGCCTGCGGCGGGGCGCAGGCCGGCCAGCGGCTGAAGTAGGCGCAGTAGGCGCGGCCGTTGGCCCGAAGGGATTTCGTAGGCGTGGGCGCGCCCACCGCGATTTTGTTAGCCGCGATTTCAGGAGCTACCCTTCCGACAGCTTCTGATTTCCTGTCCTGCCCTTCCGTTTTCGGCGGGCCGAACTGTTGGCAGCGCGCCGACAGCTCGCACCTCTTCGAGGTATCCGAGCTTTAATTTCTAGCCCGCGGATCGGCCAAACATGGCCGTTGTTCCAGGCAACCTTTCGGGGGCGAAAAGGTTGCCCGAAATACATGGGTGTTCTTCCGCATGGGATGTGAAAGCGAGCGTCCATGCCAGGAGTTTCTCTTGCCTCTGTTTTCCTGGCCTGCCTTTCCGTTCTCGTCTATGGCGCCGTTTTTGCCTGTTTTTGCGGGGACGGAGGCCACGAGCACGTGGCCGCTGCGTCGTCCGCTTCGATTGAGGCCCGAGGACTTTCTCCCAACAAAAAATAAAATCCGCTTGGAGGAGGACATGCCCGACCTGAGCCTAAGGAGGCCCTTGCATTCTTGACAAGCCCCCTCCGCCTTCTCAATAAGAGGGCCGCCCCCCTCGCGCCACTCCCCCTGTGGGCGCCGCCGAGGAGGAGGAGGAGGAGGAGGAGGAGGAGGAGGAGGAGGAGGAGGAGGAGGAGGAGGAGGAGGAGGAGGAGGAGGAGGAGGGGGAAGAGGAGGGGGGAGGAGGAGGAGGAGGAGGAGGAGGAGGAGGAGGAGGAGGAGGAGGAGGAGGAGGAGGAGGAGGAGGAGGAGGACGAGGACGAGGAGGACCCCCCCCGCGCGCCTGGTGCCCGCCCCTCTCTCTTCTTCCCTTCCGGGGGATGGACTCACGGGGGGAATGCACCCACGACAGGTACAGCGGAGACCCTTGCCAAGAAACTCAGGCGATCGCAAACATGGATCAAGCAAGGGGGCTTGATTAGCGACGGGTCCCGTTTCCATGGGGAATCGCGGGGTTCCGCCGCCGAGCGAGGCGGCACCGGCCGCATTTTGGGGAGGGCACCTCCCCCGATCCATGGATTTGGCGACCGCGCGCCAAATCCAAGGATCGCTAATCATGTTAGCGCGCCCCCGAGAAAATCCCCTGCTTGCCTCTGGGGTGTCCTGGGTTTCATGGGTGTCGCTGGTCCTGCTGTGGACAGCGTGACCTGCCCACGCCACAAATCAGCGGACGTCCTGGGGTCTCAGGGTCGGGCTCTCCGTGGAGGGTCTCCTGGTGGTCGGGCCCCTGCTGTATGAGGTCTGATGCTTCCGGGCGTTCTCTCGTCGCTTCCCGGCGATCTTCCAGCCTCGCTGCGGCAGCCGCGCCTCGCCGTGGGCTCTTCCCGGGGTGCCCAGATCGTCTCGAGCAGCCTTCGGCGATGCGAGTGGTGTCGAGGGAGGAAAAAAAAACACCCGGACCCAATATTTGTTGACGGAACGGCCCTGGGCGCTTACTGAACAGCCCTGCCCTGTTCGATTCCTTCTCTGGGCGCGTTTACTCAACGGCTTCGCCTGCCGGGGTGATTCTTATGGGGGTGGATTTTCTGCTCTCTGCTGTGGCCCGAGAACTACATGGGCGACGCCCTCCGATCTCACCTTCATCGCAGATTTCAGCTCGATGTTCCCCCCTGAGCCGCTTGGATTCTGGGCCGCAACGCAGGTCTCTTGCGGCCGCTCGAGGCTACCCAGGCACCCCTGGAACGCCTCAGCGAGGCGGAGCTGCCGGAACGCCTCCCGAGCCTGGAAAGCCGACGAGAGCGCCCGAAATTCTCGAATCCCGAACCGATCGTCGTCGTCGTTCTCGTCCTCGTCTTTGCATCGTCTCCCTGCAGGACGGCATGGACGCGTTCTGGGAGCTCGAGCGCGCCCTGCAGGAGGAGATGGACGCCAGGGCCCTCTGCGACACGGCACCCGAGCGCCGGCAGAGGCGGGCGGCGCTCCCGCGGCAGCGGGGGGGGGGGGCGGCCCGCGAGGGGGGGCCGGCCTTTTGGCCCAGATCTTCGGGCGGCGTCTCTCTGGGGGCGACGAACGGCGAAATCGTCATCGTCATCGTCGGACGCCGTTCCGATTCGACCCGACTTCGGATGCGATGCTGGCTGATCTCGCACCGCGTAGTGAGTCGGCGTGGAGTCGGGGTCACCGCACGGCTTTGGGACTCGGGTCGTTTGCCGAGGGCGGCTCGGGCGATTTGGGGCCTCCGAGGTCCTAAGACCGTGCGGTGACGGAATGCGCGGTGAGGTCGCTCGGAATTCCTGGGTCACCACGCGGTCTGTCACCACACGGTTTTGTGGGTCGGGTGATGAAATCTATACATATCCATTGCTCCCTGACCATGCCCATCTTGAACCCAGGAGCTGTGTATGCGCCCTCCTGGCCAAGCCAGGAGGGCGTGGCGTATACACCGCTGCGGGGTTGAGGATGGGCCTGGCCAGGGAGCAGTGGATATGTAGAGATTTCGTCGCCCTACGAAAGGGTGAGGGGGGGGGGGGGGTGGGGGGGGGTGGGTGGGTTTGGGGTTGTTGAATGTCCTCCGCCGGCGTCCAGACAGCTCCCTGGAATGTCATGGGCGCCCTCATTCCTGTTCTGTCTGCTCTCAAGACGTCCCTTTTGAGCCCCCCCCCCCGGGGCCGCTGCACGTTCCCTCGGGCACGCTCGCGCTCCGTCCCCTCCACCTCGCCCTCCCCTCCCCTCCTGGGGACGCCCCCCCCCCCCCTGGGGACGCCCCCCCCCCCGAGATCTCCGACGACGTGTTGTTCTTACTCCTCTGGCTTTTCCAATGCAACGAACAACAAACAACAGACAACAAACAGCAAACAACAAATCGCAAACAACAGACAACAATCAACACGAGATCTCCGACGACGTGTTGTTTTTATTCCTCTGGTTTTTCCAATGCAGCGAACAACGAACAACAAACAACAAACAACAACCAACACATCGCAAACAACAGACAACAAACAACACGAGATCTCCGACGATGTGTTGCTTTTATTCTTCTGGTTTTTCCAATGCAGCGAACAACGAACAACAAACAACAAACAACAACCAACACATCGCAAACAACAGACAACAAACAACACGAGATCTCCGACGATGTGTTGCTTTTATTCTTCTGGTTTTTCCAATGCAGCGAACAACAAACAACCAACAACAAACAACACACAACACGAGATCTCCGACGACGTGGTGTGATTATTCCTCTGGTTTTTCCACTGAAACGAACAACAAACAACAAACAACAAACAACAAACAACACGAGATCTCCGACGACGTGTTGCTTTTATTCCTCTGGTTTTTCCAATGCAGCGAACAACAAACAACGAACAACACACAACAAACAACAAACAACAAACAACAAGAAACACGAGATCTCCGACGACGTGTTGTTTTTACTCCTCTGGTTTTTCCAATGCAATGAACAACAAACAACAAACAACAAACAACACACAGCACACAACAAGCAACAAACAACACACAACACGAGATCTCCGACGACGTGTTGTTTTTATTCCTCTGGTTTTTCCAATGCAGCGAACAACAAACAGCAAACAACAAACAGCAAACAACACACAACACGAGATCTCCGACGATGTGTTGTTTTTATTCCTCCGGTTTTTCCACTGCAACGAACAACAAACAACAAACAACAAGCAACAAACAACACACAACACGAGATCTCCGACGACGTGTTGTTTTTATTCCTCTGGTTTTTCCACTGCAACGAACAACAAACAACACACAACAAGCAAAAAACAACACACAACACGAGATCTCCGACGATGTGTTGTGTTTATTCCTCTGGTTTGTCCACTGTAACGAACAACAAACAACAAACAACAAGCAACAAACAACACACAACACGAGATCTCCGACGACGTGTTGTTTTTAGTCCTCTGTTTTTTCCACTGCAGCGAACAACAAACAACAAACAACAAGCAACACACAACACACAACACGAGATCTCCGACGATGTGTTGTTTTTATTCCTCTGGTTTTTCCACTGCAACGAACAACAAACAACAAACAACAAGCAACACACAACACACAACACGAGATCTCCGACGATGTGTTGTTTTTATTCCTCTGGTTTTTCCACTGCAACGAACAACAAACAACAAACAACAAGCAACACACAACACACAACACGAGATCTCCGACGATGTGTTGTTTTTATTCCTCTGGTTTTTCCACTGCAACGAACAACAAACAACAAACAACAAGCAACACACAACACACAACACGAGATCTCCGACGATGTGTTGTTTTTATTCCTCTGGTTTTTCCACTGCAACGAACAACAAACAACAAACAACAAGCAACACACAACACACAACACGAGATCTCCGACGACGTGTTGTTTTTATTCCTTTGGTTTTGCCACTGCAGCGAACAACAAACAACACACAACAAGCAACAAACAACACACAACACGCGATCTCCGACGATGTGTTGTTTTTATTCCTCTGGTTTTTCCACTGCAACGAACAACAAACAACAAACAACAAGCAACAAACAACACACAACACGAGATCTCTCACGATGTGTTGTTCATTATTCCTCTGGTTTTTCCACTGCAACGAACAACAAACAACAAACAACAAGCAACAAACAACACACAACACGAGATCTCCGACGATGTGTTGTTTTTATTCCTCTGGTTTTTCCACTGCAGCGAACAACAAACAACAAACAACAAGCAACACACAACACACAACACGGGATCTCCGACGATGTGTTGTTTTTATTCCCCTGGTTTTTCCATTGCAGCGAACAACAAACAACAAACAACAAGCAACAAACAACACACAACAAACAACACACAACAAACAACACGAGATCTCCGACGACGTCTTGTTTTTATTCCTCTGGGTTTTCCACTGCAACGAACAACAAACAACAAACAACAAGCAACAAACAACACACAACACGAGATCTCCGACGACGTGTTTTTATTCCTCTGGTTTTTCCACTGCAACGAACAACAAACAACAAACAACAAGCAACAAACAACACACAACACGCGATCTCCGACGATGTGTTGTTTTTATTCCTCTGGTTTTTCCACTGCAACGAACAACAAACAGCAAACACCAAGCAACACACAACACACAACACGAGATCTCCGACGATGTGTTGTTTTTATTCCTCTGGTTTTTCCACTGCAACGAACAACAAACAACAAGCAACAACCAACACACAACACGAGATCTCCGACGACGTGTTGTTTTTATTCCTCTGGTTTTTCCACTGCAACGAACAACAAACAACAAACAACAAGCAACAAACAACACACAACACGAGATCTCCGACGACGTGTTGTTTTTATTCCTCTGGCTTTTCCACTGCAGCGAACAGCAAACAACAAACAACAAGCAACAAACAACACACAACACGAGATCTCCGACGATGTGTTGTTTTTATTCCTCTGGTTTTTCCACTGCAGCGAACAACAAACAACAAACAACAAGCAACACACAACACACAACACGAGATCTCCGACGATGTGTTGTTTTTATTCCTCTGGTTTTTTTCCACTGCAACGAACAACAAACAACACACAACAAGCAACAAACAAACAACACGAGATCTCCGACGACGTGTTGTTTTTATTCCTCTGGTTTTTTTCACTGTAACGAACAACAAACAACAAACACCAAGCAACACACAACACACAATACGAGATCTCCGACGATGTGTTGTTTTTATTCCTTTGGTTTTTCCACTGCAGCGAACAACAAACAACAAGCAACAAGCAACACACAACACGAGATCTCCGACGACGTGCTGCTTTTTTCTTCCCGGCGCTCTCCTCGATCTCGGCGTCTCCGGGGCCCGTTGTCGGGCCCCCGCCGCGCGCAGAGAGGCGCCCCGAGGAGGCGCGCAGAGGATCCTCGCGCGCTGTTTCGTCGAAGTGGCGCTGGCCCGGGATGCTGCCAGCCCTCCGCGCCCTTCTGCGTCCTCTGCGGCCTTGAGCTGATTTTTTTTTTTTACTCGAGCGTATAACGCTGGTTATGAGGGAGGCCTCCTACCCACCCGCCCAGCCAGTAGATATCAGAACGCCCTGCGCTTCACCCACCCCCGTGGCAGCAGCGCCTGTCGTTTGGCGCGCAGGCTGTTCGTAGTGCGCGCAAGGTGTTATGCTATGTGCCACCAAACCCGCCCACCCACCCAGCCACATAACGCGCGTTAGATGGTTTAGCTCCTTCTGGGCATCGTGCGACGAGGGGGTGTTCCGGCAACCATCTGCGCCTCCCTGGGAATGCCTGGGTCACCTCGGGCCAGGGCCACTTCTGCCGGGGAGACGTACGATTCGAGTTCGCCAGAACTCGAGTTTGCCGACGCTGTTAGACGAGCCTGTCCTGGATTTTGGCGGTCCAGTGTTTGTGGGATTTTCGAGGCGGGAGTTTGCGTCATCTTCCAGACTGGGTCTCGTCATTTTCCTGACGGCCTCGTCAGGCCAACCCGAGTTCCCCGAACCCGAGTCTCATGTCTCCCTAATTCTATATACTAGCAATACCCAACGGATGGCCGGAGGGGGCGGGGGCGAATGAGTGTTTCTCTTTGATTTCGGTTGCTGGGTCCCGTGATTGGGCCCCGGGACCATAAAATATGGACTTGGGGCGAAAATGAGCCCCAGGGAAGGGTCGAGACCTTTAGGCGCGGCTGGAAATCATCACATCGCTGGATGTCTGGGGAGAAGGCGGGAGTCGGGGAGGCTTTTCTCAGAAGGCGGGGGCCTTCTCAGAAGCGCCCTGAGGCTTTTGAGACGGCCTCTTGGAAGCCCCCAAGATGATGAGGAGGAGGAGGCTGAGGAGGAGGAGGAGGGGGGAGAGCGTGAGGAGGAGGGGGAGGAGGAGGAGTGGGAGGATGAGGATGACGATTTGGAGGACTTCCAGGAAGGGCCCCCCTGCCTCATAGGATGGCCTCCCCCTGCCGCCACCCCCTTGCGCGCGCCGCCAACTGAGGGGCATGGTGGCCGCCGTCGGCGACTGCGCGCCGCCAAAGAGAGGCCTGGCGGCTGCCGACTTCGGCCTCGATGACGAGGGGGGCCTGCTCAGCGGCGAGCTCAGCGGCGAGGACGAGCCCCTGCCCTCCGCCCCGGCGCTGGGGGCCGCCCAAACGGGACCAGAACAGATGGGAATCGAAGGTTCGCACCGCATCGCCGTTGCGTCGGGCTCCAGATGCGCGCCGCACCGCCGATTCAGCGGCGATGCTCAAAGAAGCAAGACTTCATGATAATAGATGTTCGGAGTTCCGCGCGGATGTCCGAGACTTCGAGTTTATGCAGATTGTTCGTCCTTCAGGTGCGATGCGACCCTCCAGCCCCGTCCGACTTTTGCGTGGTCTCCAAATTTGAGGTGTGGAGTTCTCCGCATCCACCGCCCACAGAGGATGGATCTTCGGGGTTCTCGGCAGGCAGTGGATCCGGGCCACCTGGGGCCCACATGCATCCAACATGGGTTGCTACTCGAGCTATCTTCACACAGACTAGTTTCACTCTGCAACGGCTTTTGGACTTCGATTCAGTGAGCTCATCGCTCTGTCATCTTGGCTACGACTTGTAGCTTCGCCCGTTCCTTCCCAAGAGAGATGGCCTTTTTCACGACGGCCATGGCAAGTGCCCAGGAAGTCGGTCCCCCAGGCGATGGAGCTGCCTCGCGCCGGAGGTTCCCCGGAGGGGCCTCCGTGGACACCCTGCCCCCAGAGGCCTCTCCGAGGGCCCCCCGAGGGCCAGAGCCCGGGCGGGCGCAGGACCCGGGTGCCTGGCTCCCAGAGCGCTCCATGATGCTCTCGGAGCGTTCCGGAACGCTCTGGAATCTCGGGGGCGGAAAAGAGGGGGGTGATGACTAGGGGGGGGGGATATCATGGCGTGGGCCATGATATTTCCCGAAATTTCATGGCGCCTCTTCTTATTTCATTACGTCCCTGGCCCCCCGCTGGGCCGCGCACATGCCGCTGGTCATGATTTGCACCCCCCTCTCTTGGACACCCCCCTCTTGGCCGCTCCCGAGAATCGGCGTCACCCCAACATTGCAATATTTTGTGATCGTTTTCTTATTTCTTGTTTTGCCGATCGGCGCGGGCCCTCGCACCCCCCCCTCCCCCCCATGCAGCAGATAGAGTTTTGCCGTTTTTGGCGCCTGTTTCGAGCAGATGGAGTCTCCCCCACAGGACGCACTGTTGCAAGCAGTCACATTGAGCAGAGGTCCAGAGCCAGACCCCCCCCCTCCGCCCAATGTCCAAGCGCCGAGTAAGAAGCCGCTCACTGGATGTGCGTCGCCCCTTCAGGGGCGACGCGCGCGCCGAGAGCTCTTGTAGTATATGCGCCGTCGCGGGCGCTGCCAGGCCGCACCGCTCGGGTCCCGATCTGCCACACGATGGGTATCCTACATGATCGGGTCGGACGCCCGCCTCCAACGAGGGCATACATACACATATATATATTTATGTATTTATTTATTTATCTATTTATTTATTTATCTATTTATTTATTTATTTATTTATTTATTTATTTATTTATTTATTTATTTATTTATTTATTTATTTATTTGTTTATATGTATATATATGTATATATGTATATATATATATATAGTACTGGTGTGTCTCTGTGCGTCCCATGGAACGGCCGCGGCGCCTCTGGAGCCGCCAGGCCTCAGGGATCCCCGAGTTGTGCCTGGGGGCGGGAGCTGCCGCCGCCCCGCGTCGGCAGCCGCCGCGTCGGCGCTCTCTGCGCCTCCTCCGGGGGGAGAGAGGACCGCGCAGGAGCAGGGGACGATCGAGGCCCTCGGAGGGGGAACCGCGCCTCCTCCCGGGGGGGAGAGAGGACCGAGCAGGAGCGGGGACGATCGAGGCCCTCGGAGGGGGAACCGCGCCTCCTCCGGGGGGAGAGAGGACCGAGCAGGAGCGGGGACGATCGAGGCCCTCGGAGGGGGAAGGGGGGAGCTAGGAGGAGGCCCGAGGGCGGAGGCTCGAGGAGGAGGTTGGAGCGGGCTCGAGGCCCCGAGGCTCGAGGCCCGCGAGGGGCCTCGAGCGCGCCCGCCGGCCCCGCCGCGCGCGGGGCGGCCGGGCGCCCCTCGGCGAGGCCGCGGAGGCCTCCGACGACGGCAGCGACGAGGAGTGCGACGCGCAGGCCCGCCGGCGGCGCGCGCAGAGCGACCTGCTCCTCGCCGCGCCCGCGCGCGCAGGCGCGCGCCCCCGCGGCCGCCGCGTGGGCCCCACGGGCGCGCGCCCCGAAGAGCCTCTGCACGAGCGAAATGGGTACTCCAGATTTCGTAACAAAAGGGAGGGGGTCTGGACCCTCCAAGACAAGCCATTTCAGACCTCCCCCGTGGGAGGACCCTCCAAAACATCGTCCCCAGACCCCCCAGGCCCTCCAAGATAGCCTGGAAGAGACCCCCCCCCGAAATGAGACCCACGAGTCTCTGCACGAGTCGTTGCACTCGAAAAAAATAGCGAGCATTCATGCCACATTCATCCGTCAACGCCTCCCCCCCACCCACACGCTCAAAGTTGGCGGTGGGGTCTGCGATGGGCTTTGCGCCTCCCGCCAGTCTCCCACGCGCGTGCGGGCTCTTGAGTTTGGGGGGGCAGGGGGGGTAAAACCGACTGGAGAAGATCGGGACCAAAATCGAGCCGCGGATAGCTCGAAATCTGCTTGTGAGATTTTGTTTGTTTCTTTTTTGAGATCTTTTTTCTTTTTTTTTTTTTTGATTTTGAGAATCGGCGGGTTTGGAGGATGTATTGGGCGCCGCGGCCGCTCCAGAGCGTTCTGGAACGCTCTGAGAGTGCTCCGGAACGCTCTTGAGTGATTTATCCCGATCCTAGCCCTGTTTTAAATGGGTGTAGAATGCCCAACAGCAGCTCCTGTCCATTTTGAACCGGACTCGCTGTCCGCACCGCCGCGGCCTGTGTCCATTTGAGACAGAAGACCGCCTGCCCAACAGCGGCCGCTGTTGGTTTGGGACAGCATTTGTTGTTGGTCATTGCACCCATGTTTTCGGTGCCCATTTCGGGCTTCCAAAAAAGAGGGGCCCTCGGGGGCCCTTGTGCTGCACAGGGCGGGGCTCCGTGCCGTGGTCCTGCAGTCAAGCCGAGGAACGATGAGCCGAAGGTGGACAACGGCGAAAGCAGGAACGTTTGGCGATCCGCGCGGACTTCTTGGAGCTGCGCTGGGCCCCCCTCCCCGGAGGCGCCTTCGGCGCCGCCCTTGGCGCGCTCCGCGCGCCAGGGAGGGGGGGGTCGAGCGCGGATCCAAGAAATCAACGCGGAGCGCCAACAGTTTATGTTTATGAAGTTTTTTCTTCCTCTACACAGGGGCGCGCCCCAAAAGGGGCCCTCTGGGGCCCTTCTGCTTTCACGGCCGGGACTTCGCGCCGTCGTCCTGCAGTTGAGGCGCTGAGATACGGAACAGATGGTGGGGCACGAGAGGGGCCCGAGTTTCCTCGGGCCATTCTGTGGCTGTTCCTTTACACTCCAGATTTCGTAATAAAGGGAGGGGGGTCTCATTTCGGGGGGGGTCTCTTCCAGGCTATCTTGGAGGGCCTGGGGGGGTCTGGGGACGATGTTTTGGAGGGTTCGCCCGCGGGGGAGGTCTCAAATGGCTTGTCTTGGAGGGTCCAGACCCCCTCCCTTTTGTTACGAAATCTGGAGTAGCCCTCCTCGTGCACGCTGGCGCTCCTGGGGCCAAAGAGCAAAGGGGGGCGTCCCGCGACGGCCCCTGGCGCGCAAGCTGCCCGCGCAGGGTCGCGCGTGAGCGCCCTCGTCTCCACTGTAGGGTGCCGCGCGCCGGCAGTCCGCGGAAGCCACCGCGTAAGGTCGCTGTCTCATCTCGCGTAAGTTAGGAGGGGAAAAAACACACAGACACAATTAATCGTCGACCCCCCAGAAAATATGGGAAAATATGGGAAGTGGGGGGGGAAGACAGAAACCCAGAAAATATGGGAACATAAACGGAATCAATTTATTTGTGTGTATTTATTTGTGTGTCCTGGGGCCCCTTCAGTAAGCCTCTGTCATCTTCCAGGGGAACGAAGAATGACACAAACATAAAAACTCTGAGGTCCGCACGGATTTCTCGGATCCGCGCCGGGCCCCCCTGGCGGCGCTCTTGGCGCCGCCTCTGGCGCGCTCCGCGCGCCGGGGGGGGCGGGTCCAGCGCCGATCCGAGACATCTGCGCGGACCTCCGAGTTTTTATGTTTATGTCATTCACCGGGCGCGTTCCACTACTCGCAAAGTGCCTACTTGCAAACGTCCGAAAACGGACTCGCTCCTCCATGTAGTGTATCGTAACCCCCCCGCGGCGGATCCAAGCCATTTCCGAGTAGCTTCTTTGCGAGTAGTTGAATGCGCTTGTCTAGGCATTTTTCGTTCCCTTCCTCTCGTCGCCCAATCGAATTAATCATCCGAAAAGTTGCCAGTGGCGCACTCCGCTGCCCACGCGTCCCGCTGGACGTGCTCGGCTCAGCGGTGGTGGCGGGGTCCAGAGCGGGCACGAGGGGGCACGAAGGGACGCATCGGCGGTGCGGCTCGATGTGGAGCCCGACTTTCTCCACGCCGACGGCGCCTATGCGTGGCCGCCGTCGCCGACGCATCGCCGATCTATCGGCGACGCGGTGCAATTCTCCAACCCCACCTACAGCCAACCCTCATGGTAAGGATGGGCGACCTTCCCAAGGCTGCCCTTGCATCCTTCTCCGTCGGCCCATCCTTGGTAACGTTCGCTGGCTAACCAACATGTGAACGTGGCCCTCCAAGGCCCTTGTACCCTTACCGCGCATCCATCTGTGTGCATAAATATATATATATATACACACGGGTTGACTGCTCGGATCCCATTTGGGAAGCCTCTAAAAAACGGGCCCTCTGGGGCCAAGAAGGGGCACGAAGGGTGCACGTCTCTTGACCCCCCCATTCCTCGCCCCCTACCGTGGCAACCCATGCCAAGAAGCACAATGCTTGCCTCCAGGGTGCCCTGGGTTTCTTGGGTTTCGATGGTTTTGATATGGAAAGCGTGACTTTCCCACACCAGAAATCCAAAGTGGTTTGTTCCTCCTCGTGGTAGCGGGGCGCCGAATGATAGCCATGCTTCACTGGCCGAACAATCAGACACGAAAAGCGGGCACCGCACACGAATGCCGCGGACGTTTGCGATTGCAGCGCCTGCCAAACACGCCGGACGGCCTCAGCCTCAAGCATGCACACCGTCCTTTGCGAGCACAGTCTTTGCCTCATTATTTCCACGCACCCGCTGCGGTCTGCATCTCCGCGAGGTAGCATCAGCAACGATATGATCACACCGGCGGTGCCTGGGGGCCCCCACATGATCACACAGGCGGTGAAACCGCAGGATCACACATGCTGTGCCTGGTGGCCCCCGCGAATCTGGATGTACACGTTTTTGGGTGGCTGCTTCTGCAGGCGACAAGGACAATTAACGTGCACTGCCAATCGCCTGCAGCGCCGGGATGAGGAGTCCAGAGCTGCTTCTTGACGGTCTCGGGGCTCGTCCAGGGACCCCGCAGGCCGAAGACGGCCAGACGCCAGCCGCTCCGATCTTCTCATCGTAGCCTCGGATCTCTGGGTCTTGGCCCCCAAGGCGTGGCGGGGCGCAGGCGCTCGCACAAGAGGGACCACCGCGCCCGGCGCGAGCAGCAGGCCGAGGAGTCGGGCGTTGCGTGAGGGGGGGGGGGGGCCGGGGGCGATCGATGGGGTGGCGTGGGGGCGAAGAATGGCGCACCTTGGTGCCCCAGCGGGGCCCTGAAGGTGCTCCCTTGGGCCCTGAAGTGGCATGGACGGTGCACGTGCCCCTCCCCCCCCCACCTTTGAGCGGCGCAGAAAGACGGGCTCGTCTTCACCGTCATTCGCGCGTGCGCTGCCCGCGTAAGATCCGCGCTCGAGCGCCCTCGTTGCCAATGTGGCCTGCCGCGGTGGCGGCCCGCGCAGTAAGCCACCGCGCAAGGCCGTCATCTCGCGTTGGACTCGCTCGTTTCCGTCCCCCATTGTCGGGGTGGACAGACCCCCCAACAGCGACACGTCGATTAGTGAATTGTCCGTTTTCGGTTCTCGAGAGGGCGCCGTGGCCGTTGTTTTCCAGGCTTGCGCCCGCCAGGTTTGGGCCTCGGGTCGTTTTCACTGAACCACGTTTTACTAAAGGGGGGTCTGTCCATCCCTGACTTCTGCACGAGCGAAATGGGTACGGAAAGAATGGGTGTACAATGCCCCACATCAGCTCCTGTCCATTTTCATTTTGAACCGGACTCGCTGTCCGCACCGCCGCGGCCTGTGTCCATTTGAGACAGAAGACCGCCTGCCCAACCGCGGCCGCTGTTGGTTTGGGACAGCATTTGTTGTTGGTCATTGTGCCCATGTTTTCGGTGCCCATTTCGGGCTCCTCCCCGACATTGATCGCCCACCCCATCCCCGACATGAGAGGGGTCTGTCCATCCCCGACATTGATCGCCCACCCCATTCCATGCCGCCCGGAGGAGGGCTGCGCTGCAGCTGCGGGCCTCGGCTGCGGCGACGCCGAGGCCGCGGTGCGCGCCGCCGCCGACATGCGGCTGGCAGCCCGGGGCTTCGAAGAGTTGCCGCCGATCCGCAGCTCCGCCGCCCCCTCCTCCACCTCCTCCGCCTCCCCCTCCTCCACCTCCTCCTCCTCCCCCTCCTTGTCCTCCTTCTCCTCATTCTCCTCCTGCTCCTTCTCCTCCTCCTCTTCCTCCTCGTCCTCCTCCTGCTCCTGCTCCGAGCGATCAAGCTCAAGCTCAAGCTCCGAGTGCTTCGAAGAGTTGGCGCACCCGTTCGGGGGTGGACAAAACCCCCAACAGTGACACGTCGACTAAGTAAATTGTCCGTTTTCGGTTGTCGAGAGGGCGCCGCGGCCGTTATCTTCCAGGCCTGCGCCCGCCAGATTTTGGGCCTCAGGTCGTTTTCAGTAAACCACGTTTTACTAAAGGGAGGTCTGTCCATCCCCGACCCGTGGCCACGGCTCGAGTCTCCTCGGAGTCTCGTTGAGAATCGCGCCCCAGGTCAGCATCGTTCAACCGATCCCTGTCCCCCTCCCGATCCCCACCATCCCACCACCCCAGTTGGGGACATGCCACTCGAATCTCGAAGGGAACAACCTGTATGCATATCTTCGGGGCAACTCGGCCAATGGGGCCCAGGCCACGCCAGTAGGGGATAGGGATCGACTAAACGCTGTCCACCAGGGGAAATCTGGGGAGTCGTGGTGTCAGTACCTTAGGTCACCCGCGGGTGGGTACGATCGAAATTGGAACGGAATGCATGGGGGCTACAGTCAACCCGCATAGCAAGGATGGGCAACCTTCCCAAGGGTACCCTTGCATCCTTGCCTCCTCGGCTCATCCTTGGCCGCTTTCGCTGGCCGCGCTGCGCTCGCAGAGTGCTGGCGCGGCCTTCCAAGGCCCTTGCATCCTAATCGCGCATCCTTGTGTTACGGGCCAACTGTAGGGAACACGATGTTCACCAGGAGAGGTCTGGGGAGCCGTGGTGTCGGTACCCCAGGTCACCCGCGGGCCCGTACGATCGAAGTGGGTACGGAACGAAAGGGTACGAGGAGGCGGAGGCGGCGGAGGCGGAGGAGGAGGAAGAGTAGAGGAGGAGGAGGAGGAGGAGGAGGAGGAGGAGGAGGAGGAGGAGGAGGAGGAGGAGGAGGAGGTGGAGGAGGAGGAGGAGGAGGACGAGGAGGAGGTGCCGGCGATCCGCTGCTCCTCTGGGAGGGCCCCCGTCGCCACGACCCGGCGCTCCTCGGAGTCCTGGCGGGAGTCGCGCCCCGGGAAGTGTCTGGGGGGTCGCGGTGTCGCACGTCGCTTTCGCGGCTGAGGAGGGGGGGGAGAAGAGGAGGAGGAGGAGGAGAGGAGGAGGAAGGAGGAGGAGGAGGAGGAGGAGGAGGAGGAGGGGAAGGAGAGAGGAAGGGGGGGGAATGGCGGGAAGGGGTGGCTGGATGAGGGGGAGGAGGAGGAGGAGGGCCGGGTGATGGGGTGGGGAGGAGGAGGAGAGGAGGGAGGAGGAGGAGGAGGGAGGAGGAGGAGGAGGAGGGGAGGAGGAGGAGGAGGAGGAGGAGGAGGAGGAGGGAGGAGGAGGAGGAGGAGGAGGAGGAGGAGGAGGAGGAGCGGGAGGAGGTATTGGATTGCAGCTTTCCGACTGGGTGAGCAGGATCGGGCATCTGCCAGAATTGTGGCTTAGAAGTTCCAGTGGTTCATGTTGGTTGTGGGCCGCAGCTGTCTGTTTGGCTCAAGTGCTATCGCCTGCGCGTAACCAAGAAAACTCCTGCCAGATGTGCATGGTCGCGGAGCTCGTGGTTCGCCCCACGGGTTCCAGAGCACAGATGGCGGCGGCGGCAGCTGCAGCTGCCCCCGCGAGATTCGGGTTATGATGTGTCGTCGCCAGACTTGCGCGAATCTTGGTACAATCTGGGCACGAACCAGCTCGCGAAACTTTGCAACGCAGATTTCGATAACGGGGACTTCACGAGCGCGAGCACGGCGTTCAAAGCCAATCGCGAAGGCATGCAGTTATTCTCCGGGCGCAGTGCCAAACATGGCACCAGGACTCTGGGCAACGACGAAGCATTCGCCATGTTGCAGATGAGCTGTACATGAGTGTTGCGCTGATCTTTGGTATCAGTTGCAACATGTACTGCGAGGAACAGTTCGACAACTTAGATGGAGTAGGTCCAGAAATCAGTTACCAAGGTCGCTGTGGCAATACAGTCCGCTGAAATCCGTGGGGCCGGCGGGGGTGGAAACAAGCCTTTGAGTGAATACAAGGCTGCTCAACAGTTTAATACGTTATCAGTTGACAGGACCAAATTCAGAGAATGGCGAGAAAAGTTGTTGAACGCACTCGCCCAAGTAATGCACGTTTGCAAGAACACCCCATTCTAAGCTCAACAATTCCGAAACCGCGGATGGAGCACTCCCTGATGACGAAGAGGACGATCTCAAAACAAAAACACAGAAACCGATGGTTAACCTTGAGCGAGTGCACCAAAACGTCGCACCACAAAAGCAGAGAAGACTACCAACAGGGGGAACATGAGTTGGATGAAGAGGAGTTCTGGTGTCCGTTATGCTACAAACTGGAGGGAGCGGAGCCTTGGGGAAGCCCAGTGGCCCGTATGAGAGAGATGTGTCCGTGGCCAGCTAAGGACCTACAAGTGGTAAGCTGCGGTTGCAGGGCCACACCTTGACCATGGACCCCGAATACCATAATCATATACATGCGACGGCTGTGCAGCTTGCAGTGTGGAGCGCGTGATTCGTGCCATGGGGAACTTATGGGTCGGCCTTTTCCTTCCCAGTGCCACTCAGGGTTGCAGCATCGAGAATCAGAATGACCCGCATGGGTGATAGATTTGATGACTGGTCGCAATTTTGCTTCAAAACCATAGACTCGCGAGCATCGGCGCGCGCCCTCATCTTTTCGACATGGGCGGGGGTTGTGCGAGGAAGAAAAATTCAACGCCAGCGCGAATAACGCCGATGCTATGGGCATTGGCCAGATTAGCGA